GGTTCTTGGACTTTCTTGGCGTCCAGCACGCCGAGCCGCCAGCGCACCTTCTCGCCGCCGTGATCGTCAACCCCCCCGGTGTGCTGGACACAGCGGAGCCCCCCTGGGCGGAGCAGCAGGAAGATGGAGAGCGCAGTGGAGACCGGAGGCGTCTCCGGGAGCCTTGAGACGGCGAGGTAGGGGCCGGTGAGAGGGCCGTGGCCGACGAGGAAGGGTTCTTGGACTTTCTTGTCGTCCAGGACGGCGAGCCGCCAGCGCACCTTCTCGCCGACGTGCTCGTCCATCCTCCCCGTGTGCTGGACACCGCGGAGAGTCCCCGGACGCAGCAGCAGGAAGATGGGGACCGAAGTAGTGACCGGAGACGTCTCCGGGAGCCTCGAGACGGGGAGGCAGAGGCTGGTGAGACGGCCGCGGCTGAAAAGCGCGGCTGGGAGGCTCTGGCCTATAGACCAATGCCGAACCTTCTCGCCTCGATGATTAGTCATCTTGCAGGCGAGCTGGACGAAGCGGGCGCGCAGGCCCCTGGTGCGCCGCGAGGACGGTGGACGCAACGGCGTTGATAGCGCAGGTGGGGAGAGGGCACCGCGATGAGCTAGCCGTAATTTTTTTTAGGGGTAAATCCTACTTTTATTCATCAAAGACCACAGCATGTGGTTTAGAGTTTTGGTCATGCGGTTGGCCAAATCACACATTACACACTGGAGATAGTGAAATAGTAAATCTAGCTAAACTATGCGCTTCGTAATTGTTAGCCTGACCTTCAAAAATGAAATTACAATTAAACGGTGTATCTCTGACCTTAATTAATATCCCCTATCATTTGTTTGAAATCAGAGGCCACAACAAATTGTTGTAGTTGGAGATCTTCCGCTAAGATAGTGCTTCCTGACACGCCGTCGCCTCTATCATAGATGCCATCTATGGCAAGTGCCAAGCTTCCAAGATAAGTGCCATTATGGTCACGAAACATTGCTGCTGCGGCTCCACCCCTGCCTGATCAAACCCCTGCATCTACGTGGATCTTTGCAAAGTTCAGTGGTGGTGCTCTTGGAGGTTGCCGAACACTCCCACTAGCTGTGCCTAGGTTATTGGCTGTATTGACTGGTTTCTTTTCCTTTATGATTTCAAGCTCACCGATGAACCTTGTGATGAAAGATTCAAAGGATTATGGACTTTGGAAGATGCTTTCGTGAATGGCCTTTCTGTGAACTGACCAAATGGCCCATAGTGTAACAACCAATTTCACACAAAGTGCAAGCGCTGATGTCTCCGTCTAGGAAAACAACCAATGTTTAGCATTGGGCTCCGTATTTACGACCAAACTATGTCCCAATTCTTCATCGACCAGGGGCCAAGAGCACCCTGCCATGGTGCATTCTATTAGAGAGTGACGCCACGAATCTAGGGCCCACAGAGGCCGCACGCTGATGTTCTAGTCGTGTGCCGATGCGTCCTCACAA